AGCTCTCTATCACATACGGTCACAGAATAAAGAAGGTTTAAAAAACGCTGAAAATCTAAAGGCTGGAAATCGAATAATCGAAGTTTTAGAGAAAAAGAAAACGTTATTTCGCATAATAAGTGCACCTTCTGTTAGATCATCAAAATTTACATCAGGGAAATGAGTTTCACAATATTATCTTTATCCATAATTGAACAAAACGCGATCGAAGTTTCAACTTCGAACGCGATTTTCTCGAGAACTATTAGCCAGAGAAACTTTTTAAAAGCACTGATAGACTCAGCTTCATGCCACTAAAAGCCATCAGAGTCTAAATTCAAAATAAATTCATTTATATCTTTTTTTTGTCCCTTTGTGTCAATTTGTGTATCAATGTTACAACTAATGTGTTTATTGTGTCTTTCTAGCAACAAACCAATGTAAAATAACTGCAAATCATTGAAATTAACTCATTTTTCATGTTTATATGCAGATAACTTGGTTAATGATCCTTTGGTAACATCTAAAATATATCACCCACTACCAATTAGTCCTGAAATCTTGCGAACTCCGCTTGTTGTTGTAAACAGCCGCTGTGATAATCAATATTTCCCTTTACTTTTAGAGACAATTTTACGTCAACCCGAGCTTAAGCCAAACAAAGTAATGGTCGCTATAAAAGCCAATTGCCACCCTTCAATCAATCAGCTAATTAAGGTTTTTAGTTTCGAGGTATTTCAGACTCGCACGGATAATAGTCAATATCTCAATACTATTCTTGATCATGTTGAAAGATTCTATCGTTATGCTCATCAGTTGATATTAGTTGATGATTCCGTTGTGCTTGCTCCAGACTTCTTACCCTTTATGGGACAGTTATTGCCTTTGCTTCACTATTCCGATGCCAAAGTTAACTTCATATCTGCTTGGAATGAAAATGGCTTTACTAACACTTCGACTGATCCTAGTCTGGTTTACAGAGTTGACAATGCTCATTACCCTATCAGGTTAGCTTTTATGATTAAGCGGGGAACAAGGCTATCGACTAATCAGTTGGATGGATCTTTATGGTCACTCGAACTGTTTAATATTCAAGGAAACCAAATCATTGGTGATGGCATAATTCCTGATCAGTCCAGAGTCTTGCCTACTTGGAAGATCGGTATTAATGGTCCTGTCTATGAAGCTAATAGTATTGTCGATCAGACTTATGATGGCGATCAAGAGCGGAGTGTTTGTCTGTAAGTGTCTGCTTATTCAATATTATACTTTAGAGATGCAAAAATATTTCTAATGATCTTGTAATTCCTCAACAGAGAAGAAGAAGTTCTCTTGGCCGACATTTATTCTTTGATTTCTCAAGACAATTACATTCTCAAAACCACGTCCTTAATCAACGAAAGTGACAAATTCAAATCGCTTGAAGACTGGAAAACAAGTGCTAAGAATCAAACTAAACCAAAGTAAGTCTATTGACTTGATAATGTGAGAAATACCCAAACTAATGTAATTAAATTGTCAATGAACAGGAAAGTAACATTAATTTGTCAAAATATGGAAAGCTGCCAAAGATATTGCTTTCATTTTGGAATCGTTCATTGTTCATTCCAATTCAATATTCCTACTCTAGGCAGAGTTTTGAGGTAATTAGAAAATTAGATTGGCAAAGGACTCAGGGCATAACGTTAAAGTTAAGAGTTGGGACTTTGAGGTATTTGTAAATGCATAAAAATTCAGTCCATTAGTTGAATTTTCGATTGCTTATTGTTTTCTTACGGAAGTAGATTTTTATTCTAAACTTTATTAAACTGAATTAGCTTTTAATGATCTACCAGAAAATGCTTTATTCTGAGCAATAATATTTTCTTTTTCAGTTAAACTTTCTTTATTCTGTGAGCGTGTGTGATAGAGAGCTAAAACTTATTATCCGTGGATAAAAATCATGAGTTTACATCAAGGACTGATCACTTTTTTCAATATATCAACAGTTCTCCTGATTTTGGACATTGGCCTCAGTTTTTATTCATTTACAAATCCCTCAAAGTCCCATTTCTTAACTCTAACGTTATTGTGATAATCCTTCATAAAATTTTTCTTAATTTAACTTAATTATTGTATTTTAGGTTTACATCGGGTCTCGATAAAACTATCTTTATAATCAATGGAAAGTTCTGATGGCCAGTTTCACGGATATACTTGATATATAATTTATTTGATTATTTTTTCATTCCAAAGATCTAATAATAACTTGAAGATTAATCAATTTACAATCTCGATTGATCTCGAGGTACGTGTTAATAATACAAAGATTCAATTTTTCATTATGATTAATGATCCGTCACTAATTCCCAGTAACTTCACCAGTTCGCTTTTTACGGGCAACAACAACACTCCGAGGGGTTGTTTGCAGATCATATGCTTGTCCAATTAGCGCCATCAGTTCAATAAACATCGCTGCAATATTTAATTGCATCCAACCCCACTCCGAAGCTTTATAATCTCGAGGAAATGTGTGATGGAAATTGTGATAAAATTCACCAATCATGAACCATTTGCAAATATCTTGTTCAGCAGGATTGATATTTCTATCGTAGGGTCTTGATCCCCAAAGATGAGCGGCTGAATTGACTGCAAATGTTATATGCATCACAACCAGATATCGTATACCTGCTATAAAATAGCACTGCCAGAAGGGTATAGACCAGAGATAGTAAGGAATAGCAATTGGAATTATCACCACTGTAGTAAAGGAGGTGAAATAATATAACCTTCTTTCCCAGACCACTACGGGATCATCATAAAGGTCTGATAGATCAACCGTTGGAGCTTTTTTCAAATATTCTGGATGTTTTTTGACACAGAGCCAGCCAATGTGAGAAAAAAAGAAACCTCGTCGAGCATTATGGGGATCGGCATCAGTCTCGGAATACTTATGATGAAGTCGGTGGTCTGTGACCCAACTAATCAAATCATGTTGACCAGAAGCATCAAAAGCAATGGCAAGGAATATACGCAATGGTAACTTTGCTTTATAAGACTTGTGAGACCAAAAACGATGAGCACCAGCAGTCACACCAAGGCCAGCTAAAGAATAGGCGTAAATAGCACCTGAACAAATTCAAGTGAAATCGATTGTAATAGTTCTGTTGGTTATTTAAGATTTTTTTGTACTAATACTTACTGAATATGGTAAGTATCACAAAGTTGTGAATCTCTTCTGGGTAACAGTATAAGTAATAAAAAATATAAAACAACCACGGAATGAATGTGTGAACATAAAGAAAGAAAAGTGTTTTCCAAAATTTAAGTTTAAATTTATGGTTATCCGGCTTGGTTGAATTTTTGGTTTTCATTTTTGGCAGAACGAAAAATATCACTAATTAACTGTAATTAACTTTAAATTTCAACTCGTTCACTTGACTTATTGACGATGAATGAAGCCTCGAAGATGAACCTCGTCATTTTTCGCATTAATTGATTTGAGCATCCATTTAGGTGATAACGAGTAATAAAGCAAAAGATATTTCAATCGTCTTTTTTATTTTTATCAGAATTAAAGCGATCGCAAAGATTTCAGATTTAAATGATTCAACGCTTATAAAATTTGAATATTCAAATCAATGAATAAATTCGAAGTCATGTAAAATGGAAAATTCTGAATTTCATTTCTGAAAACTACATTTCGCAAGTTGTGCAGCAAAATTATTTCAACAAATTGATTAACCTTATTGGGGCAATAAATTTTATTGACAATGATTATTAGCCAATCTAAAGACACTTTTTCAGATAAAATCTGATTATTTCGCTTCAGTAGATGTTAATTAGCCTGAATAGAGCAAAAGCTTCTATTATAATAAGATATGTCCACAAAATTCACAGTCTGGTAACAGTTTCTCAGAAACCGTTGATTTGAGTTTATTTTTTATCTTTGTATTGGAAGAAAAACAATTCTCAAGCCTTTCTTACTATTGAAGTCTATTTTGTTACTATGTGTTTATTGAATTGTTGGGGAATTCAAGTTGAAATATAAATTAGAGTAGAAATATTTATCAATTCATTTTTAGCAAAGGCTATTCAATTAAACACTAAATTTTTTGATTTCAATCCAAGGCTGGTCATTAGCATGTCACCTTGTAAACTAGTATTTTGCGCCTGTAATATTTATAGATTGAGGGAAAGTAGGATGACATGAAATTATATGATTTTTGATTTTGCTGAGCCGAAGAAATGATTAGATTATTATTTGTACACCAATTTTCAATAATCACTAACATACGGTAAATCCCATGCAAAAAATTTAAGAATCGTTAAGGAAGGTTTAAAATTTAATGGACAAAATGATAAACATTACATTTAGAATACAAATCTCTAGTAAAAGGAGTAAATATTTTATTTTCATTTTGCCAACTAAATTTGTTTGAAATTAGATCAGTGATTTGGTTTGTTTAGCGTTAAATAACAATTATGAAAACATTGATTAATAACTCTTTTGCTTGGTTCAATTACGTTGATCCAATGGTTGGAAAAGTTCCCATTTTATCCAGCAATCCAATGGTTATTTTCATCTTTTTATGCGTTTACCTTGTCTTTTCATTTCACCTTGGACCTTGGTTGATGTCAACTAAAAAAGCGTTTGATTTAAGACCTTATATGTTGATTTCAAATGCTTTAATCTTTGGTGCTTCAGCAATGGGTATTCCATTGGCCATGTATTTAACTTCATGGGCAAGGATACCGTGGATGTGTCCAGAACCAGTGATTAACCCGAGTTTACTTATGACACAAATTTATCTTGGTGCAGCTTTTTTCTTGATCCAATTGTTTACGGCCATTACAACAACTACATTTATGATTTTAAGGAAAAAGTACAATCAAAATCCTGGACTTGATGCTTTACGAACAACTGCAATCATTTTTCTTGTTTATTTTGGTGCTCGTCTTCATCCTCGAGGACCTTTTTTGTTTCGTCCAATTTGTGAAATTACTTTGGCCACCATCCGTCGCGCTTATTACATTTTAATGGCTCCTGGTCAATCATTTAGACAATATTCATCGATGAAGTATTTCATCAATTATTTAACTCTTTTGTCAGGAATAGTTAATACAATACATATTTCCTATCTGTTTACTCGAGATTGTCCGGGTGATAAAAATATAAAATTAATAGCATTATTTACTACGATTGTTGAAACTTGCTATTTGACTTTGAAACTTGCATTGAAAAAAGGACATCCCAATGAAAAAAGTAAAGAGGAGTGAGTTCATTGCAAGAAATGGATGTTACATAGCTTTAATTGTTGGTAATTAATTAAACTAACTGATGTTGCTAAGGATAAGTACTGAAATTATTTGTTTGTTAATTTTTCTAATTCGGTTACGATGCATATTTCAATTTAAGTCTAAATGGTTGATCACACTACGTAATTATGAATATTAACGCAGATGAATTAAAGGGTCCACAAAAATTTTGTGTCATTGATTCAATGAAACCGATTTTACCTTCAAACCCGTCAACTTGAAAAGGCTGAGCTGTATCACTTGGATGATGAAGCTTTTAGAGCAGTTAGATCAGCAAAAATTTCAAAACAGTTTGACCTGACTAACAAATGTCTTTTGCTTTCAATCATAAGGGAACCATTGAGTAACTATAAACAGTTGACATTTACATTGATTTCAGTTAATTTTTCCAATAATTCATCATTTCTTAGATTTTGACAGAATCAAAATTACTCGAAACAATCATAAAGAAATTTACTATTAATTATGCTTTCCAATTTGTTGATTACGAGCTCAATGCCACCTTGTTTATTTAAAAAGGGTGACAATAAAATAAAAGAGTGACTGGAAGATTTATTTTTAAACTTATTTCAAGATACGAAAATGAGATTTTAAGACGCATAATATGAATAATCAGCAATTCTCATGAAAACATGATAAAGCCAATGTGTGTATCGTAATTAAACAATAGTTTCTTTCGACATCGACAACGAAAAAAGAAACTAGATCTCAATTAAAATGAATGCTTGCGTCGTTGATTATTTGGTTGATTGTAGTCTTAGAGGAAGGGGTTGATTTGGAAATGATGAAGATAAACCAGCGGCGGAGGCTGAGCTATAGTGTTGATCCCCAGAGGGCATGAAAGATGGAGGTTGTTGTGGTTGTCCTGTTAAACGAGAAAGGATTCCGCGTTCGGACATTTGTAGCCTTTGAGCTACCGGAGGTATACGAGCGATGGTTTGCGGTAATCTGGATACATCAGATTTCATATCACCTAAAAGTTCTTCTAATTGATTCAGAACTTTGTGGAGAACTGCATTTGCTGGTTTGTTACCAGAAAGAGATTCTTTGGAAAGGTGAGCATTTGATTCTGCTAAAGCTTCCATCTCGGCGAAACGGGAATTAAGGGCCATTGCTGGGTGGGTTGGATCTTGAATAATATTAAGATAAGCTGCCCGTCTCAATTGCTCTTCAATAACCAAAGCTTGCTCTAAAAGTTTGAATCGACGAGCGAGAAATTTGTTTTTGATTTCTACAAAGTTTCCTTTACCAACATCCATCTTGAATGGTTCATTGATTATCATGAAGTTTGGATCATTTTGAATATCTTGCCATCGTCCATAACCATGTTTGACGATACCAGATAAAAGCCAATAATCATGTCTTCGATGCCAGATTTCATATTCTCGGCCCTGAGCTGCTCTTTCCTCATTTTGCCAAAGAGTATGAAGTTCTGTGAATCCACCATCGGCAATATTGAACATGAATCGACGTTTAAAAACTTCTTTATCTTCTTTTTGATCTTTTTCAAGTTTCTCAATTTTCCCAGTCGCTCCAATCGCATCAACTTGCTCCGTTTTCTCATCGTTTTCTTGTTTGCCCTTTTCACCATTTTCCTTCATTTCAATATCTTTGGCCTCTTCTTTGATTTCTTTAGTTTCTTCAGCAGACTCTTTGTTTACTTGAGGGCCGTCATCAGCTGTTTCCAATTCTTTGACTTCCTCATCATCATTTTTAATATTTTCATCAGTTTTCTCAGTCTTTTCAACTTCCATTTTATCTTCTCCTTCTTCTCCTTCTCCTTCTTTTACCTCTTCTTCCACTTCTTTCTCTTCTTCATCTTTTTCTTTTTCTTCTTTATTTTCGTCTTCTCCTATTTCTCCTTCTTTCATTTTATCGTCCTCTTCTCCTTCTGTAACTTCTTTCTCTTTGTTTTCATCTTCAATTACTTCTTCGATTTCTTCTTTTTCTTCATCTTTTTCGACTTTCATTTCGTCACTAGATGTTTCATTCTCTTTCTTTTCGTCATTTTTAGTTTCTTCACCATCTTCTTTTGCTAATTCTACAATTTCTTCTTCTTCTTGCTCTTCTTCATCGCCCTCACCAATCTCTTTATCTTCAATCTTTTCTTCTTTAATTTCTTTCATCTCAATATCAGCTTCATTCTCATTCTCATTCTCAGCTTCAATCTTATCTTTTTCTTTCTCTTTAATTTGCGTCTCATCTATTTCTCCTTTTGATTCATTATCTTTTCCAATCACTGAATCTTCCTTCGATTCAGCAGCAGGTTGTGGAGTAGCAGCTTTACTATCATTTGGAGTTGACATTGAAGATGGAGTTGCAGTTTCTTTTGTACCATTCTGCTCTTTAGGTATTTCGGGTGCTTCAGGAATAGGCATACTTTGTATACCATTAATGTGTTCAAATTCTTGTACTTTCTTTCTAATTAATGACATTATACCAATTCTTGTAAGAACATGTTGCCTTGACATTCCTTCACGAGGAACACCATCAGCAAATGTTTCCAAATGGTCAGCACCAGGTTCACAAAGATGACGCATGAAAAGTGAAACATATGCTCTAAAGTTTCTCTCTGATTTACAACGTAAATCACGAACCAACCATTGTGAATTAAATGAATCTTGTGGTGGCATACCATAACGCATAATAGCATTCAAGAAAGCCTTTCTTTGACGTGCATTGAAACCAAGAACCTGTAAAAACATTTTCAAATATACCAATTAATTAGTTAGATTATTGTAAAACATGTATTATATCGCCTTTGAGTTAGTAATCATTAATTTTCATCTACAAAGTATCAAATTCAGTAAATAAGGTACACATAGACGAAAAATAAAACTAACCCCTAAAGATATAAATCTATATTCTAGCATCAAATTTTTTAATCATCAAATGCTTATTCTGATGTACTAATATTAATATTAATTTGATGCTTAATTTTATTTACATAGAAATAAAAGGAATATGAATAAAACGATAAATACCTCAATATTACCACCAACTCGGGCCAAAAGAGGAGGCAATGGTTTATCTTTCTCAGTTTTCTCATTTCTTCCTTTACGTCGACCAGTTTTTTCTTCTGTTTTTTCCTCAAAGTCATCATCATCTAATATTTAAAAGAAGCAAAACAAAGTCATTAATACGAGAATAATAATTGTAAAAAATAACAAGAATGAGAAAAAAAACTTACCAGAAGGAACAGAAAAGTCAGAATTATATTCAGATACATTGTCTTGCCAGTTTGTATCTTCTTGACCTCCAGAAGCATCATTATAATTAACTTGTTTTCGCACACGTTTACCTTTACCAAGAGTTCGTGAAAGATCTTCCTGTTGTTGTTCATAATGATGCCTTAAAAGTTTCTCCCAATAAGCAGGATCGGCAGATTCAACATCTTGTTTCAAAACCTCAGTCTCAGGTTCTTCTTCTTCTGCCTCTTTGGTAGCATATGCGGCAACTTTGAACGAACTAAGATATTCATTGGCCCAAAGTTCTTTTTGCTCGATACCTTCTTGAGATCGATCTAATAATCCTTTAATCGCATCGTCATCATAATGAATAGCCGATTCTTCTTTGCCTTCTTCTTCTTTAAACAACTCTTCAGTACCAAATCTTAAAATATCATCCAATTCTTGTTTTGACATTGTATTTTTAGCTCCCATTCCAGGTCTAACGACCAAATGAGTCAACATCATTTTCTTTTTAGCCACTTGAGTTATTCTTTCTTCAACCGAAGCTCGTGTCACAAATCGATATATCATTACTTTATTAGCTTGACCAATACGATGAGCTCGAGAAAAGGCTTGAATGTCATTATGTGGATTCCAATCAGAATCATAGATAACAACAGTATCAGCTGTTGCCAAATTAATACCCAAACCACCAGCTCTAGTTGACAATAGGAAACAAAATTGTTGGGCTCCTGGTGCATTAAATCTGTCAATTGCTTCTTGTCTCTGTGATCCAGTAATTCCACCATCAATTCGCTCATATTTATATCCTTCACCTTCTAAGAAATCTTCCAGTATATCTAACATTTTAGTCATTTGAGAGAAAACTAAAACTCTGTGACCAGTATCTTTGAGTATCCTCATCATCTTTTGAAGTACAATTAGTTTTCCTGCTGCTTTTGTTAACGCAGTCCCTTCATATGCTCCATTTGGTGTTAAAGGTGCTTCTTGTGCTGCAACAGGGAACAAATATGGATGATTGCAGCACTTTTTCAAATCCATCATTATATTTATCAAAGAAACCTGTTGTCCTCCACCTTTGGTATTGAGAGCTTCGAAATTACGTGTCAAGATATATTTATAGAATTTCTTTTGCATTGGAGTCAATTCCACTCTAACAATAAATTCACTTTTAGTTGGCATTCCTTTTAATACATCAGCTTTTAATCGACGAAGAAGATGTGGTCCAAGCATGTCATGAAGTTTTTTAACTTGTTCTTCTTTTGCAATATCTGCAAATTCATTTAAGAAACCTTGCAAATCATTAAATCGAGCAGGACTCAAAAAATTGAGTAAATGAAACAATTCTTCCAAATTATTTTGCAATGGAGTACCAGTCAATAAAAGTTTGTAAGCAATTTTATATGCATTCAGGATGCGGAAAAATTTAGATTGATTATTTTTAAGTCTGTGAGCTTCATCCACAACTAACACCTGCCAATCAACTGAACCAAGTGTTGCATTGTCGATACAGATAAGTTCATAGGATGTTAAAAGTACATGAAATTTTATTGGACACTCTTTTCGAATACGTGATGCTTTAAAACCACCTCGTACAGCTCCTTCTTCAAAACTTAATTCATGCTCTCGAATAACTGCACGACTGTCTTTATCTCCGATGTATGTGACAACATAAAAGTCAGGAGCCCACACTTCAAACTCTCTCTCCCAATTGATTATAGTCGATAACGGTGCTGAAACAAGGAAAGGTCCTTTACAATGACCTTCCTTGAACAGGGAATAAAGAAAAACAATGGTCTGAATTGTTTTACCTAAACCCATTTCATCGGCAAGAATCGTGTCAGTTCCATTTGACCAAGAATAACGCAACCAATTTATACCTTCTAATTGATATGGATGAAGTTCCATACCAGTTGCATCAACATATGCTGGTTGACGTTCAAACTTCTTTTTAGGATCAACAGTAGGTTTATCTGGAGGTGGTGTATAAAATCGCTCCACATTAGCATCGTGATCTTTCCCTTTTGACTTTTTATTTGATTTTTTACTAGACTTTTTACTGCTACCTCCTCCATGCATTATTTCAGTCGCTGAACGTAAATCCCAATAAGCTTGAATAGCTCGTTTCAGCTCTGGAATTTCGAAATCCTCTTGCTCTTCATATTCCCATGATGCTTGATCATAAGGAAGATCTCGCCATTTTACAAGATACAAATAACTTCCATCTCTCAATTGTTTATGATTAATTACACGATGAACTTGTAGCCATTCTGGCCTAATTCCATAACGATAAAATCTTTCCTCAAGAGCAGCATCACGATAAATTTGCCTTTCTGCTCGTTTTCGTCCAGTTCCCGCATTTATTTCCCCGTCTTCGTTAGCTTCATCTTCTTCTTGCTTGGCTTTTAATCTTTTCCTTGATTCTAAAGTATCCATATCAATAACAGGTGGCTCGTCCATGTCATTCTTACGACAATATATCCGAAACATGGATGTATGGAATACGTCTAACTGTATCTCAGAGATCCATTGACAGTGCCAATAGGACATGTCATGAAACTTTACGAAAAATTCACGTAAAGGTTTTGGTTGATGTTTTTTACTTGTTGATGGCTGGGCTGCTGGAATGTTTTCATCAGTTTTTTTAACTTCACCGCCTTCACCGACTTCACCACCTTCTTTCTCCTCTGGTTCATCGGGTTCAATTGTTACCCATCTCCAGGTTAAAATCTTGGCTACTTTACCCTTTAGTGGTTCAACCTGCATCAATAAAAAATACACCAATATGAAATATGAAATATTGTAAAAACGCAATAAAAATAAATCTTGCAAAAAAAATCTTCATATGAAATTAAACTTTTTAATGTTTACTTACCGAGCATCTAGGGCATACCCATTCACCATCAGGAACAACTTTTAACGGAGGATTAAGACAAAATGTATGATAAGCTGAAGGACATAAATCACAACAAAGTAATTCTCCGCCATCCCTGCAAACCCGACAAAATTCCATATGATGATCATCTTTGGCTGGCGGTTCTTCAATCTCTGCATCTTGAGCACCCTCTCCTTCGCAATGTGGACAGCTCCATTTACCTTCAGGTGCTTCTTCTAATTCTGGTTCTAAACATACCAAATGGTAAGCACGAGGACAAGTGTCACAAAGAATAATTTCTCCTCCTTGTTGACAAACATCACAATAGTCCTGATGGTCTGTTTCATATCCTTCACTGTCAGAACCGGCAACAGAATCAAAACTTGCAGTTGTTTTAGTTTTTTTCTTTTTCTTTGATTGTTTATTTTTCTTTTTCTTTTTATCACTTTTTGGCGGTGGAGTTGCTGCTTCAGCTTCTTGTAAAGCGGCTTCAAATTCCACATCACTTTTATTAGGTTCACTCATTTCATCTTCTTCAGAACTAGCGGCCTTTTTTCTTTTACTGGTGTTGATCGATTTAAGTTTTATTTTAATAGATGGAACTGACTTTGTTTTACTCTTCTTTTTCTTTTTTTCACCATCATTGTCAAATTTACTACCACGAGTTCTTTTTTCAGGCAATGTCTCTTGTATTGTTTCTTGCATTGTCTCTTCTCCGTACTCTTCATCCTCATTATCTTGGGCTAATGTTGGATCCTCAGAGTCACTCATGATGATCAAAGTAAACAAACCAACAAATGCAATTTATATAAACAACTCGTTGAGTAGCTGAAACGTACCGTGTTGAAATGTAATTTAAACACCGGTAAATTAAAACAATTCAAAACTAAATTACTAGATTGATAATTAAAAAATTGACATTTTTGAAACACTTGAATACAATAGAAAAAAAATGAATGAAATTTTCAATTGATGATCGCGACACCTTATGCTTCTTGCTGCAAATTCACCCATTTAAGTTGAAGCGGATACTTTAAAAAAATATTAACTTTTATCTTTTGTTAAAATCTTTCAATAATTTATTATTTGTTCAATAATTTATTATTTGCTTCTTATAATTAAATATTTTCATACTTTTTCACGCTGTTTCGATATAATTAAATATCATTCATCAGTTACTTTAGTTAAAAAACTTATTGTGAATCGAGCCATTGAATAGAGTGCTGTACATGAGACGAAAATCATAACGTTATACTAATTCATCTCTATTATTTGTGATTGCGACACTTGGCTTTTTGTCGCGTTGATTAAACGCAAATACTTTCGATGCAGTGCTATCCAAATACATCCAATACAATTCACAATAGGTATGCAATGATAAACGATTAAAAGACTAAAGATAACATTTTTTTAAAGTATCCGCTTCAACTTAAATGGGTGAATTTGCAGCAAGAAGCATAAGGTGTCGCGATCATCAATTGAAAATTTCATTCATTTTTTTTTCTATTGTATTCAAGTGTTTCAAAAATGTCAATTTTTTAAATTATCAATCTAGTAATTTAGTTTTGAATTGTTTTAATTTACCGGTGTTTAAATTACATTTCAACACGGTACGTTTCAGCTACTCAACGAGTTGTTTATATAAATTGCATTTGTTGGTTTGTTTACTTTGATCATCATGAGTGACTCTGAGGATCCAACATTAGCCCAAGATAATGAAGATGAAAAGTACGGCGAAGAGACAATGCAAGAAACAATACAAGAGATATTGCCTGAAAAGGGTTTGCAGGGATGGTGGAGAATTACTTTGCTGTGATTTATGCCCTTCAGCTTATCATACTTTTTGACTTAATCCTCAGTTAAAAGTTGTGATAGTGAATGGGTATGCCCTAGATGTTCGGTAAGTAAACAGTAAAAAGTTTAATTTCATATGAAGACTTTTTTGCAAGATTTACTTTTATTGCAAAATTACAATATTTCATATTTTTAATCACATTTATTTGTATATTTTTTTCATTATTGATGCAGGTTGAACCACTAAAGGGTAAAGTAGCCAAAATTTTAACCTGGAGATGGGTAACAATTGAACCCGATGAACCAGAGGAGGAAGAAGGTGGTAAAGTCGGTGAAGTTAAAAAAACTGATGAAATCATTCCAGCAGCCCAGCCATCAACAAGTAAAGAACATCAACCAAAACCTTTACGTGAATTTTTCGTTAATCACAGGTTAACTTCAACAGAATCTACAGATGAAGAATTATTTCTCAATGTTTGATACTCCAGTTGTCTCTCTCGGATTCTTTCTTTGACCTCTTTACGTTCTCTGTTCTCAATTTCCCGTTGTAATTTTCGTCTGTATGCTTCGAAGGCCATAACAATTTCTTCCAATTCTTGACGGTAAAGTAAATTGATCATAGCTTCAAATCCTTGAAGTTCTTGTAAGTTGAAAAGTTCAAACTGAAACAAATAGAAATAAAAATGTCAAAAAAGATAAAGATAAGAAAAGATTAAAATGATTGAATATTAAAATGAGAAAATAATAATTGAACTCAAATCACTCGTCTTAAAAATATATGTAATTATATATTTTAAACGAAATAGTCTAATGTTTTATAGCTTTTAAGATAAAATTACCTCTAAAAGGTGATCTAATTCAAGTGGAGCACGGGAGTAAAAAAAAAGCCACTTTGGTATTTCTTCGGTGAGATAAGGATTAGCTGGAACCCAAACATTATGCTGATGAATTGATGGTTTAGGTAGAGGTAATTCTCGTTGATGACCATGAATAGTTTCTCTATTAACAATTTGTAAGGCACCATATTGATTGGCACAGGGATGTTCATATTGAGCTCGACCAGTGATATGATTAACATAATAAGTTCCGTGAATTGAAGATTCAACACGCTCCCAGCCTGTAGGTAAACCTTCTTTCTCCAAGGGATGAGACCAATGAGTAGTTTTTGTGTTATGATCAATATAATATTTACGACCTCTCATAGTATAATCAGTTGACCATCCTGGAGGTAAATCTTCGCAAGATTGTCGAAAGGAACTGTTTTGCGATGCCAAAGAGACTCGACTATGGGAATTATTATTCAAATTAGTCTCAATTGGTGTCACTCTATTTTGTGAAAAAATTGAAGCTAGACCAGGAAAGATAATTGTTGGTTGATAACCGGGAAAAGTTGTACCAAAAGCACCAATATTACCTGGTGTTGCGGTTCGTGTTTCCAAACTCCCATGAGACATTACTCTAGTCCCATAAAAGTTGATCGGATGTTGGGGATGTTGATGATGAAGATTACTGCATGATCCTAAATTTGATAGAAAAATTGAATCGATTAATAATAGTAATATAAATAATTGAGAAGGAAAACTTACCAAGATTGGTTAAATTATTTGCGCTTGTTGTACACATTATACCACTAACTGTTGAACTTGATGGTCCATAGTTAGGCCTGAGCTTATTAAAATCTTTCAGTTGTTGAGCCCGTGCACACTTTTCAGCTAAAGTCTTGGGCTGTGAATCAACAGTATCAAAATCCACATCGCCGGATTTCTCCTTCTTTTTGACATTTTGGCGATTAACGTTTGTCCATACATTGGTGACTGAATGGCACACATAACAAGTATAGACGGGAAAGTTCAGATGACGGAGAAGAATGCAGGAGGAATAAAAGGAAGAGAGAAAGAAGATGAAGAGAAGGTAATTAATGACATATGATGAGTGAAAGAAAAGAAACAAAAACACAACAGATTGGAAATAATGAATTGAAAAGGATAACTTACTAGGAAGCTCCACTGGATTATCTCGTTTAACATATTTACCTACCACCGATTCACTTATTTTTCGATTTCCTTTCTTCTTGGATATCATATCATATCATGTTTATGGTAATCTCCAGATTCTCCCTTCATTATTTACACCTGTTTACCTTTTCTCAATCTCATTTTTGACTCAATTAAAGTAATAATATTAACTCAACATTGCTCTTAAAAGTTGCTCCAACTGGTTGCTGGAATGCTTACTAAAATCTGCACATTTCTCCGCCCAGAATGGAATTCAATTCAACATTTTTGCTTAGTTTGTAACTGGTTAATACCTAACGAATTGGTTGATTGAATTGAGAGATATGTCCAAAAAAATGACCAAAATTATCGCAAGTAAATGAATAATTACACTGACCACAAGAGAAAATTACAATTTACCAGTTAACATATTTTCCTTGTGCATTTGATAAATAAATAGAAAATTTTTTTAGTGAAATGCCTCATTTTAAAACCGGAAAATTAGCCGAGTGACCACTTCAAAATATAAAAAGGTAAACAAGTGGTATAAACAACTTCGATATAATTTCAGTGGAGGTCCGATCCATCAGGAATGATACTAAATAGTTGACTACATATTAAATCTCTATTAAATTATCAGTATTAAATAGAAATGGCAGGAAATCGGCAGCTCTTTCTCTTAATTCACTGATCGCAGTTCTTGAACATTTGCCTTTCCGCTCGTTTTCGTCCAGTTCCCGCATTTATTTCCCCGTCCTCATTAGCTTCATCTTCTTCTTGCTTGGCTTTTAATCTTTTCCTTGATTCTATAGTATCTATATCAATAACAGGTGGCTCGTCCATGTCATTCTTACGACAATATAAGCGAAACTCAGAGACTGTAACTCAGAGATCCATTGACAGTGCCAATAGGACATGACATGAAACTTTGTGAAAAATGAATGAAATTTTCAATTGATGATCGCGACACCTTATGCTTCTTGCTACAAATTCACCCATTTAAGTTGAAGCGGATACTTTAAAAAAATGTTAACTCTAGTCTTTTAATCGTTTATCATTGCATACCTATTATTGTGAATTGTATTGGATGTATTTGGATAGCACTGCATCGAAAGTATTTGCGCTTAATCAACGCGACAAAAAGCCAAGTATCGCAAACACAAATAATTTAGATGAATTAGTAT